CAAAGACACTATTACACTTCAACCAACCATGCATAGTGAATGCCAGGATTGAGCTACACACCCCATCAGCTGGTGCATAAGCATATGACTGAAAGACATGGACTATTTGGGGGCACAGAGGAAGGGCAAAATCTGTGGAGGCAAAGGAAGCAATAACAATTCAGGAAATAGGCAGGAGATTTGAAATGACTGGACGGAATCACAGACTGAAGAATGATTTATAACGAGCCACTGCACTTTCTTCCTAGGAAGAGACTGAAAAAGACAAGATAAACCAGGAGAATGGCAAGAAGCCCCTGGCAAACCAAGAGGCCAGCAAGGCAGTCCTTTCTGAAATGCCATCATGGAATTATCCAAGAAGCAGCATGTGAAACATGTTTGCAGCACTAGCCTCAAACCTTACTACTGGCTACAGATAAGGAAGGGTAAGAAATGCTTTGGAAAGTGTAAAGACACTGTTCAAACTTCTGATGGCCATGCTACATGTAATGGAAACCACATTGTCCAACAATTAAAGTTGCCCATCCTGCTGCCAGGAGGCAGGCCAGGCCAACCAGCGTCCTGCAGCAGCAATGCACAGGGGCTGCATTGCCTGTGGACAGCCCTGGGCCAATGTTGCTGAAAAAGCTGCTGTGCTTGTAAATGAGGCCAGCTTGAGTTGTTGGTTAAGATGAAGCACTTCGGCTCCCCTGTCCGTGCTTTCTAAAGGCATCCAAAGGGGATTTTGTGAAAGCTAGGATCCTCCCGGCTGAATCCCAGGGACATGGACAGGTCTCAGCAGCCCTGCATAAGCAATGCACAGGGGCTGCATTGCCTGTGGACAGCCCTGGGCCAATGTTGCTGAAAAAGCTGCTGTGCTTGTAAATGAGGCCAGCTTGAGTTGTTGGTTAAGATGAAGCACTTCGGCTCCCCTGTCCGTGCTTTCTAAAGGCATCCAAAGGGGATTTTGTGAAAGCTAGGATCCTCCCGGCTGAATCCCAGGGACATGGACAGTCAGGTTCTGTACTGCACTGTCCCATGTCAGCCCTGGGCTACTGCAAAGGGGAGCTGGAGCAGCAACTCTTACCTCTTGTCACTGGATGAGAGTTGCAGCTCTGTACCAATTTGCCAGTGCAGTCTCCTTTGGACTGTAGCAGCTGCGGTCTGTCATTGCTTATTTCTGAGGGTGTTTTCTGTATGAACTGAAGCAGAGCTTTGCAGTGTCCTACTCGGGCTGCTGGTAGCTGTACACTGGAACGAGTCACAGGGCATCCTCAACTGCACTGGAATAAACCTGGTAAACAAAGGCTGTACGCGTCACCAAGCCTTAGGAGGTGCTAGGCATGTTATTAAAACAGGTCCTATTTTATAGGCTGTGGTTGTTTCTGAACTGTGAACTCCCCCAGCTGGTGAAGGCCTGCTATTACCATCAGACACCTTCCCCCAGTCCAAAATGTCTCTGCGAGAACGTACTGAAAGACCAACCCCCAAAACTCACCAGCATTCGGGGATGTTCGGTCAGTCGGAGGCCAGAGGTGAAATCTGAGTGATGCAGATATGCAGGATGATGCACTGACGTAGCCTACTGAAGCAAGCAGTGTGGCAGCATGACTGTCTCGTCTGTCGTTTGTGAAGGGGAACAAGGTCAGCATGCGTTTACAGATGTTGAATGCTTGGAGGGGTTTGTCTGTCTCACGAAGTCTGAGCACCATGGGATGCTGGGCGGGAATGTGGGAAAAGCCAAACCCCCAGCAGCTGCGGGCACAGCAGTTTCTCTGTCAATGCTCTATCGATATCCATGAGGAAATGTCACACTTAGACTGCTTCAGAGTGTGACTTCAGAGAACACAGCCACAAAACCTGGCCCATGGCACATGTTTCAGGTCACTTGCACATTCTTTTGGCCTTTGAACATAAGATTCTCTATACATAACAGATCACTGACCATCCCTGATGGAGCTTAATGCCTTATCGCTAGCAAATAAAAGCATCAGGAACACTGCTGCACAGCATAAATGGGAAGGCAGTGTGTACCAAAGAAACTGCTGTTCGCCTGCTTAGCAGCACACACCCTCACATGGTCTTAAAGCAGTTGGTCATGCTGCTGCAGTGATGGAAGGGGCCAAGCCGAGGTAGGAGTTTACAGCCAGCAAACACCGTACTCTTGATCCACTCTGAGTTCATCCGGGCACCAACCTGCTCTAGCACGTGTTGGAGATGGAGCCAAAACACCCTTCCAACAGGAAAATGAAACATTTTGGTTTTGGGCTCTAGGTGAGCTTCTCACCAGCTCAGTGAGCCAATGCAAGATGCTTACTGGGAATACACAGGCAGGAGTGGGAAGATGCAGGGATGCAGGCAGGACACATCCCAGCTGGCAGTGGTTTCACCACTTTGGGAGGGAACCCTTGAGTAAAGGTGGGAACTAGGTGGGATTGGGAGCTTGTGTAGCGGGAAGCACCATCTATCGAAAGCACTACTGGTTTTGCCTGTGACTTTGTAAGGAGCTAATGGCCAACATTTGACTAAGTTCTCTGCTGGATGGCAGTGAGAGAGGACCAAACTGCTGCCTCTTTTGCTAGGTCCACCCAGGGCCTGAAGCCCTGTTCCCCACAGGAACATTCCCTGGGCCCCCATATATACCTGCCGCCTGTATATGCTTGCCATGCTGTCTTCAGCCAAAAGCTTACCCTTGGTTGAAAACAACTTCTCAGCCTTCCTTTAGATCCCTCAATCCAAATGGGTTCTCAGAGCCTTCCCCTGGGAAACACAGTCTTCACCAACTGACCACGTGTCACCACTGCCTGCCTGCCTTGAAAGCTGACAACATCTAACAGATCAGTTTTGCAATGCCTCATACGGCATGTAGTATCAGGCATCCACCTCTCCTGCGCACCCATGGCCTTTGTGTTTTGCCTGCTGTGCATCACTGAGACCCTGGACAGACACACGGTGTAGACATTTCAGAGGCAAAGCCTCTCAAAAAGGAAGCCATCCCTCAACTGCACACCTGGCTGCCTGTCTTTCTTAAGGAATTACTTACAATGAAGCTTCATCAAAAAGCAACCTGTTTGAAGAGATGTGGCCAGTGAAAAGATCCGCATTATCCCATCATGTCATTGTCATCTAGTAGCCAAATACAACGTGATTGGGGTTTGAGGCCACATCATGCTTACCTCTAGGCAGAGGACTCTGCAATGCTAACCTTGAGCTGGCTGGGGCTGTCAGACGGGGTAATGGGTAACTGCGCAGGCCATAGTTTGCTCGTGTCACTGCCAGCATAGTACGGCCAAGTGCCAGGTAGCAGCCTAGGTGCAGGCAGTGTGAACGGCCTTGTGTTAGGAAAGAGAATGGCAGGAGCAGCAGCAGTGGCACATCTCTATGGGGACCACATTCAGCCTCTCTGATAACCAACGAGTATTTGGAAAACAGCCCCAGGGACAGGAGGGTCAATCTGGAGAAATGGCTCAAAGTAAACGGTGAGATATCTGATGTTTCAGTGAGTGAAAAGAAGGGGAAAGCCTGTAGCACCTGGTGACCTCCAAGATGGAGGGAGGAAGCAGAGGGAAACGAGTATGTTTGCTTGTCCAAAGGAGGTGGATGATGAGAGCAGTGCCGGGTGGTGGGCAGGCATGTCTGGGTGGACCATCTTACCAGGACACTCAAGCCCATGCCAAATTAGCCAGGGCTTCTTGTGGTGCTGCAGCAAGCAGAGGTCTTGGTAAGGGTTTTGGGTAGCAGATGGGGCACTGGCTGAGCACCCTGTGGTATGCTTGTAAAGGGGCAGCGGAGCCCCCCACCTGCCTGCTCCTGCTGAGGAGGGGGCTGGACAGGGCCGAGCGCCATGCCAGGCTGTCTGCCCTCCTCTGCCCACTGCAGGCCCCTGCCCGCTCCTCCTGCCCCCCTGCCCGCAGGGACCCCCGTGGCTGCCCCTGCTCCCCGGTGAGCCCACGCACTGCCCCTCCCCCACTCCACAAAAAGGCCAGGCCCAGGCGGTTGTGTACAAAACCTGAAATAGTTTACTTTGCTTTCTTTTTTTTTTCTTTTTGTCTTTTTTTAAACTTTGCTCTAGGTTTACTTAGATTTCATGAACTCGATACAAGAGCATTTGATATGAATCGGTAAATAAAACACCGTCATAGATAGATAGCCACGATAAACTTTGTTAGAAATGTACATGTCGCGAAAAAATAATAATACTAATAATAATAATCATAATAAAAAAAGCCGGCGCGACGCCCAGGCCGGCACGGCCCTCACAGCCCTCGCCCACGGCCGCGGGTGGCTCTGGTTCCCCGCGGGCGCCACGCCCCGGTAATGTGTGTATATAAACAAAGCCCATAAGAAATGTACAAATATAAAAAGCTACAAACATTAATAAATTACATCGTCACAAAACACGGAAACACTCCACAAGGTGCTAGTAAAATAACTGTCTCCCTCCTCGTACAAGAAGTTACGCAAAGAGCTGGTACCGGCGGGCGGCGCCCCGGAGAGACTTTCCCCTTATAAAAAACCGGTGGTGGTTATTCCAAAAGCTATGTACAAGCTACATTCTAGGAAAAGAATGCCTCGGGAAACGCAGCTACCCAGGGTAAAATAACTGTCTCCCTCCTCGTACAAGAAGTTACGCAAAGAGCTGGTACCGGCGGGCGGCGCCCCGGAGAGACTTTCCCCTTATAAAAAACCGGTGGTGGTTATATTCCAAAATATGTACAAGCTACATTCTAGGAAAAGAATGCCTCGGGAAACGCAGCTACCCAGGGCGACAGGGGGTTGCCTGAGAAACGCGCCCAACGCCTCACAGCCCAACGGCCCCCTCCCCGCCCC